TGTGGGTAATTATAGTATATAGTAAATACAAATGAAAATAATTTGTACCAGGGTAATGATAACCAAGTGTTCTACAAGCTAGGCCCTTAGAGGCTTAGATAGTTGATTTTAACAAAGGGGCTATGCATTGGGCTGGGGCCGATGTTCTTGATTGCAAAACATCCCTCCAAACAATGACTTTTGAGAGAAGAAGGTGATCTATGTGGTGTTAAAATGTTAAAATTAACAAACTAATGTAATTACAGTAATTAATTAAGTTAAATTGTTAAAGGCTATGTTTGGTGAATGACTTATCTTAGATTATTTATTGACTTTTAGCTTGTTATTAGTACGATCAAATAATTAAATTGTGAGTTTAATATCTCGTAATTGACTATTTTCTTGGCTAACAAGTCAGTTTTTCCACCAAAATTCAAAATCTAATAAAACTATTTTTTCATATTGGTTTTGCCTTTTCATCATCCTAATTATCTTTCTATTTCTTATTACAAAGATATAAAATATAGGAAATTTTGCAAAAAACCACCTTTTATAAGCAATTTTTTGCAAGAAACCACCTTATAAATTTTTTTTTGCAATGACACACCTTAATCAATTTTTTTTTTGCAAATCAATACCTTTATGTCGGAAAATGAGGTTTGCCCCATTTTCCGGCATTGACTACCCCAATCTACCCACGAAACCACCTCTCTCCCCAGCCCCACCCACGAAACTACCTCCCTCCTAAGCCCCACCAACAAAACCACCCTTTCATGGCGTTGACCACCGTAAACACACCCCCTTTTACGGCGTTGACCACCCTAAACACACCCCTTTAACGACGTTGACCACCCTAAACCTTCCTCTATAGCCCTAGCCACCCTTCTCCCCTCCACTGTCAGTTTCGTGGGTGCAAATGGCGTAGTCTACGCCGGAAAATAGGGTTTGACTCTATTTTCCGGCATAAAGGTATGGTTTTGCAAAAAAAATTTGATTAAGGTGTGTCTTTGCAAAAATAAATTTATAAGGTGGTTTCTTGCAAAAAAAAATGCTTATAAAAGGTGATTTTTTGCAAAATTTCCTAAAATATATCAATGTCCTTAAAGGTTATTATGTATGAAACAATTGGCAATCAACCACCAACATTGCAAGGAGCCGCAATCAACTGGTTAAACTAGCCAAAAGATGTAGCAAACAACGTAACCAATTGTCAAACAAATCCAAAATGTAGTATTATAGTTGATAGTTCAATTGACCAAAGCATTATGTAGCGAAGGGAAATTCTTCTGTAAGAAATGCAAACAGTATAAAAAAAGTAACCATCACGTATTCAAGATTTTAAACCTGCTATACTAAAATTGAAGGATTATAATTTCAAACTTATTCTAAGATTAATTTTATTTTTAACCTATCTGCAATGTGTGGGTGTATGATTGTTTTTTGGCTATCAAAGTCAATAATAATTAATTTCAAATGAGTTGATTGGTTAAATCTTTAAAGGTAAACCTCTAATCTTGGATCAAATTTCATGGAAACCACCGGCTATATATAATTACTACCTCCATTACAGGTTATGTGCAACGATTTATGAACCAGAGAAGAAAAATGTCTAATTGTTGCACATAACCTGTAACGGAGGTAGTATAACTTTTGGACTTCTCAATCATCAAAGTCAGATATATTAGATTTTAGATGATTTAATAGATTTAGGGTCTGTTCCGATACGATTATTTTTAGTTCAGTTCGGCTCTAATAAGTTCGGTTGAGCTCTAATAAGTTCAGTTCAGTGCAGTTCATCTCAGCTCCTAATTTCCTTCTATTATAAAATATTCAGTTCAGTTCAGTTCAGCTCTAATAAATTCAGTTAAGCTCTAATAAGTTCAGTTCAGTGCAACTCATTTCAGTCAATGAGAACATGCCCTTAGTATTTGCAGATGAACCTATGGTTTAGGATCAAATCTCGTCAAAATCATGGTCTGGCTATGGAAGGCATCAAACATCGTCCCGGGCCTATGGCAATGTAATTGGATAAACTTTAAAGGAAAATTTGCCAATTACTATCGCAAGTTAATACTACTTTGTAAATTACTACCGCAAATTAAAAAAGTTGTGAGTTACTACCCCAAAAAATTTTAAAATGTTGCGATTACTACCAAACCCCCATTAAACCCAACTATGACGTTATTATACCACTTTAACCCATGATTAAAGCCCTTAACCATGACGTCATTGTATCCCTAAACCATTTTCTTTTTTTGGGGGTCGGGGCTGGTTAAAGCCCTTAACCATGGTCAAACACAGTTAAAGGGATATAATGACGTCATAGTTGGGTTTAATGGAGGTTTGGTAGTAATCGCAACATCTTAAATTTTTTTGCGGTAGTAATTTACAACCCTTTTAATTTGCGGTAGTAATTTATAAAGTGGTATTAACTTGCGGTAATAATTGGCAAATTATCCAACTTTAAACTGCCAATTAAGTAAAGCAGTGAAAAAGGCTCCAAAACCACGCTTGTACTGGGTCATGCCATCATCCTCTCCCAATTTCACTTAACACAAACTCTTAAAAAAACCGGGTAAACAATAATTATTGTACATCCATTATAAAGATCGCCTAAAGTGATCAAAAGTTATCCCTGAAATGAATAAAAGTTACCCCAATATGCATAAAGGTAACCCAATACAAATACAAATTATATACGCTTATTAGTAAAGGATCACATTTTAAATGACTAAAAATCAATTATTAGTGATTGAATGTAATTAAATTACTTTTCTTGTTGTCTATATATATAAAAACTGTATTATGTTTAAAGTTACCTAAAAAAAGGCAAAAAGTTACCTTAAAATTAGCTAAAAGTTACCCTTATACTGCTCGATGTACATTAATACTAGTGTAAACTGGGTGTATACAAGAGTTTTTCTTCACTTAATTACTTGTTGTCTGACTATTTACGTACAAAGCCCTCTGTTTAGTGGAGCCTAATTATATGATGAATGACATGATCTTTAATTAGGCCAGGTTAGAGCTCATTATGTAATGAAAAGGATGATGTTATAAAATCTTAAACATTCTAGGATTCTTTTAATTATATTTACAAACTTACCTTGCATGAATGATGGTATTTGTTAGGGTTGGTGAGTGCACAGCGGAAGCGAAGATGTGTTTGATTGAGAAATATAAACTAAATTGATAATTGGCAAGATAATTAATATAAATGAACACACGATTTTATACAACAACGAGCACTTTTATTCCACTATTTGAAAGTATGAGAGTACAAGAACCCTTGAGAGGGTGATTATTACAAGAGAACTCTCACTATAAGAAACTCACAAAGGAGTATTATGATAGTAGTGGAATATTACAAGGAGGGAGAATATTTTGTAGAAAGGCTTGTATTTGGTATGGCTTCTTGTGTTTTTGTGTTGTGTTGTTGTTGTTATGCCCTTGACCCATATTTATAGGTGAGGATGGAGGCTTCTAGATTTTTATGGGAATTTCTCCATAATTATGGCTCTTAATCTAGAGGCTTCTACTTTTAATATTCTCTAGAATGTTCTAGGAGATATTAAAGTTGTAGATAACTCTAGAAAAATCAAGTGTAATCTTCTCTTGATTTTTCAGGAAGCTTCTAGATTATACTCCATCAATATAATGGGCTTATAAAATTTGGGCCATATCCAACAGTATTTAACTTCTCAATTTATCATTTGGAGGTTTAAGATTTGAAGGAACAATAACAATATAGATAAAACCGAAGGTTGTATTTTCTTTCAAAAAAAAAAAAAAAAAACCCGAAGGTTGTATTTAATCAATGGAACACAGCAAAAATATTTCACTAAGGTTTTATATTGATTAAGGATTTAATTACTAACCTTTGTTTCCACATTATGTGCGAGAGCAATAATTAAATTTTTTTTATCTCACAAAAATACTTGATTATTGCACATAATGTGAAATAGAGCCATAGAGCCGATAGAGATGCAAAGTCCATTGTAGAGTGACATATTTCAAACAATTAAAGCTCAAGAATGCAAAATATCAAATAGGCTCATATCTTCGCCTATTTTCCAATAGCCCAATATGCAAGTGATGAGTGTGATGAACTGATGATTTATAAATTTATGTGCATATATTGCTCAAAATTCTTCCTATGACCCGAAGAAATATTCTAATAAACATAAAAACGATGTTTACCAATGAAATACTTCTATACCCACGAGATTAACTCATTAACATCCAATCTCTAAGATAAACTTGGATTTTCTCATAGTTTGAGTTCTAATCATAAAAAATGTTTCCAGATTGGTAAACCAAGACTCTTGCTAAAGCATGAATGGTCTTAAGGTCCTGAAAAGTTGGCTAAAGCGAAATTTGGGTTCAACATATGTTTAATCCACATAAGAGTTAAGACCACACATATCAGTATATCACAATATAAGGAAACAAATGTACTTTTGTATTCAATTTTCATTTTTTAATACTCATTTACTACTCCGTATATGAAATATCCGTGGATGATTATTTAGCTTAGTTGGTTGAAGACTTAAATATGGTAGTATTTAAGATCTATGATCAAATTCCGAACTATTGGATAATCTAATCTTGATTTATGCAAATGTACAAATGCAGGTTGAATATACTTGTTCCACATCTATTCAGTTACAATGTAATTAGAATAGATGATTTCAGTCAAATAATTTTTGATGGTACAATGAAAAATATATTCAAATAATATAAAATAAGTTCATATTGTAATATTAAATACTACCTCCGTTACAGGTTATGTGCAACGATTAGACATTTTCCTTCTCTGCTTTATGTCAAATCGTTGCACATAACCTGTAACTGAGGTAGTAAAATAAATCGAACCAAATATCTGTATACGTGTTTAAAATTTTAGCCATGTAACTCCTCAAATAAATGGTCTCAATAATGACAATGTGCAATACTTATATGACATAATCCAAAAACAGAGGTTGCAAAAGTGGATCAATAATTGTACAAGCCTAACAAAATAAAGAGGTAAGCAATCAAATCTCAATAAAGTGAAGGATCACTCCAAAATCAAGACATTATTTTCAACATGGGTGACACCATGTATTATAAAGAGCACTAAAAGACATCTATACCTAACAACTAACAACCAAAACTTACAAAAAAACAATGAAAAAGAAGCAAAATGATAAATCCAAGCCTGTTTAGATGTTTGGATTAACAAAACAATAATGAGTTCTATGGTTTATGTTTAGGTCTCTAGTATGGACTACAACCCTTGCACTGCCATTAACGATTACAATGGTTAAATTAAAACAAAGCCGGTACATAAATAGCTTTGGAAAACTATATAATGGTGTATCAGGTTTAATAGCTCACCTGCAGTATATGGTGTATCTATGTCGACTGTGCTAGTTCTCAACAGAAAGTTGTGCCTTAATAATGGCATCACTCATGCCTTTTGCGTAAGGGAACATGTGTCCAGCACCCGGAATTTCATGGTAGTGAATCCAAGGGAGCTTTTCAACTATGTAACGCTGCAATGTGACAGGCACGAGTATATCTTCATCTCCTTGCCAGAGGTGGACACTCCCCTCGTTGTTAGGGAATGGATTTGTTAGTTCAGTTGGGTCAAATTCCCATTTGCCGAACCCCACAGCCAAGTCTCGGTGGATGGATTGATGTTCTCCTTGCTGTCTTACGGGAGACTGATAAACGACCATTAAAACAATGATGACAACAGTTAGGAACCAGATTTGTAACAATAGAATGATTGATTGAATGGAATAATTGAAGGGTATCAAATGCTACTTGCTGACATATGAACCCTATTAACAGACTGCATGCTTTTTAATCCCAATTTCTTTCAAAAATATGTTCACAATAAACTATCAGGAGCATATTATACATTCATATCTTTCTTCAGATTATAATTCACAGAGTTCCAAACTTTTCCTTGTCAGAAATCAAGATGACACTTAATGCACGAGAATAAACCTATTGAAGCAGTCGTGGATTGGCTTTTCTACTCTGAACAGGAACATTATTAATCTAGCATTAGTTCATAAAATCATAATGATCTCAAAACATTAACAGAACATGAGAATTTCCAATTTCTACATGCTACTATGCTAGTTAATTTTTATTAAGCCTGAGATTACTAAAATCCAAAGCTTGTTCCTGTTAGTTAATTTTGTTTCCCTTGAACTAATGATAATATAAACAAACACGCAAAATATTAAAATCAAAGATTTTCCCTGAATTGAAGAGCCATACCGAATCTTCCTTTCCTGTAAATTGTGCAACAAGCTCTTTGTCTTGACGTGAGAGGATTTCTGGAAGGTGATCAATCACACTCAAAATAGGAAATAATTTTTGTGTATTCCACCAATAAGATAGCCATGGTGCATAGTGTGCAACACGCAATGCCCATCTATCTCGTTGAAGCTGTTTGTTGTAGGCCTCGGTTGAAAGGTTAGCAGGCAAACCAGACCACCAGTAGTTGACAACGGGAGCTATTAATGTTGCTCCTGCTAGCCTATCATCATACAAATACACCGATCAAAAATATTTTATGTAACAATTGAAGTACTCGTATTTCAAATCAAATAGCCGATGTTAACAAACTTTACTCATAATAAAAAACAAATAGGCAATAATAGTACCTATTCGGAATATACTTGAGGCAGCTCCACACTGCTTGCCCACCCATAGAAAATCCAATCACATAAAACTTGTCTCCAAGTTCCAACTTATCAGCAAGCTCTTCTACATCCAATGCAATACTCTTTACTGTCCAGTTTGGATTTGGATCGCTTTCACCATATCCTGGCCTGTCAATTGCCACGATATATGTTCCTAAACTTTCAACTGTTTCCTAGAAAAATCAACAAAGACGAGTCGGATTAATACAAATGTGCATCAATATCCTGCAAAATATAAATGGTAAGCAAAGTGAAGTATATATACCGGAGAAAGAAGGTCGGCAACTACAGCATGATTCCGACAGGAGTCAAAGCCATGGATATAGACGAATTTGTGCTGTGCTTTATCTTTTGGCACACCGTGTTCTTTGTAGGCCAAATGCCGTCCATCATTTAACTTAATTCTCGGTGCTGTAACAGGAGGACCATTTGGCGTTCCACAAATTTTGGGAGGAGGAGGACGAGTAGCTTGATAACCCCATGCCAACAGCCCAACAAGGCTAACCAGAAGAATTTTCTTAAACAACCCTGAAAATTTTGATACTTTGTCAAATCGCCCAAAATAGAGTCTGTTGATTTGTCATTACAGTGATTTTGGATTTTATAGACTTCTATTATTTCAGTAGTAGTTAAATTCAACAATTAAAGAAGTCATACTTGTATATATATTTTTAAGCAATATCACATTATATTTTTATAAATATAGCTTCAGATGAAAAGATCCATTTCAACAAATATGAACATTTTCTTCAGCTTTGGAAACAAATATGAACATTTTATCAAATTTTACTCCTACATTTCAAAACACAATACACACAACTTCAAAATCAAAAGTTGGGGCTCTACCTATAGTTATTAAACTAAAAAGGTAAGTGATTACACATCATAAAACAAGATATCTAGTTACCAATTCAGCAATCTTGTACAACAATTTCAAATGAAGTTCCAACAATTCATCATATAGTATGTGAAAACTAACCATTATAAAGTGTATCCAAATCCAAATCCAAATCCAAATTTCTCAATTATCACAATGAACATAGTCCGTAATACGGAATCGAGCAACAAATGAACAAACAATACAAATCTCACTACCAAAGACAGAGTCAATTTGTCCACTATGGTACTCAGTCACTAGTCTCACTACTCTACTCACAAGAGTCAATTTTCCTTTTCTTATGAACATAAATTTATCATCAAATATCTTCCATATTTCTATGCTAGTACTCCATTTAAAGATTTAACATGATAAGCCCATTAGGCCATTACCTCACTAACTAAAAAAAAACAAATCATAAATATATGAATTAAAAAATAAAATAAAATACCCAGATCCCAAAACTTTGTTTTTTTTTTTTTTAAAAAAAAAAAAAAAAAAAAAAAAAAAACAGTCTAACGTAATACCTATGTTGGTTCAGTCCCAAAAATAATTGTTGGTATTTCGACTACATAAAAATCAACATCAGAATGAATGTTTCCTTGTTTCAATACCCAAAACAATCCAACAAAAACAACAACAATATCGAAACTTTAATCTCAATAATGGGGTCGGTTACATGAACCAAGATTTTATAACAACCATGATTCTCTCCCTTATTTTCAACCACAAAAATGATGAAATTAATACAATGAAAAACAGAGAAAGAAAGAAAGAAATACCAGAAGAAGAAGAATTAGGAATGGATTTGCGAGTGTGGGCCCTAGCAGAAGAGGCAGAAACCCTTCTGTTAACAGGTGCTCCAGCCATAATCGACCAATACAAGATCCACTTTTTTTTTTTACCTTTGATTTGATAATCTAAACTCCAAAAATGGTGGAATGTTGAGGTTTTTTTTGAGTGGCTCACACTTGAGTATTTATATTCAGCTGCTGAATTTGGAAAAATAAAACCAAGTCTAAAGTCATATCTATGTTTTCAATATGTGTGTGCGTGTGTTGTGAGGTGTGTCAGGGTTAGGTGACTCTTTTGTGCGAATGTTTGGTTAGTCTGTCTTTTTGACTACTGTTAGTTACAAAACTTAACATTTTTTTAAGGGTGATGCTAGAAAATATTAATAGACTTGTAGTTAGCGTATGATTATTATATTTATATGATCGATTAGTATTTGGCAATTACATTATTAGTCTCAAATCTTTGTTAAAAAACAAATTTAAAATAAATAAAAACATTAGTCTCAATTCAACTACAATGCACCAACACACCTATTCAATTGTTCTAACTGAACTGAATATGATGTTTGATAATGACATGTGTGAACGAACCTTAATACTTCCATCGTTTTTTTTTTCTTTTTTAAAATAATTTTGGTAGTAGAAAAAAGGAAGATGAAGAAAGGTAAAATACCTAATTGGTCATGTGATGTAAATTAAAGTAAGGGTATGTTTGCAAGATGAACCCCAGATATGTTTTGTCCTTAAATAAAAATGGTGTAATATTTCTTTAAAAGACGTATAGTGCAATATTAAAAGAATGGGGAAAGTTCATTGAACATATAAAAACATGTTTTTTTTTTCTTTTTTTTTTTTTTTAATTATATTTGGACACTTGGACACAAATTGTGTTTTATCTTACAAATTGACATGGATTGCTTAACTATTTGACATGTCATGACAATAATATTTGGAATTATTTTAGTTGTTTGATTATTTTGTGTTCACTCTTTACCAATGACCCAAATCTCTCTATTCACTTGTGCTACAACCCGACCCGAAGTTAATGATTGAAACCCAATCCCAAACAACCCGAATTCAACCCGATTTAACCCAAGTTTCATATTTCGTAGTAATATTAAGTTTTACACTATTTTTTTTTTATAGTTTTTAAGCATAATAAAAAATAGACCCAAAGTATGACCCGAACTCGACGTGCTGACCCAATTGCACTCCTAGCTACTTCCCCCTCTCATTCCTAAACTTCCTCCCCTCTCATTCCCAAATATCCCTCTTCAAATCCCTCTTCAATATTCTATCTTCTTCCTAATTGAATCAATAAATCTTCGACTCTCTCTCCCTCAAAGTCAAAACAACAATGTTCTTTATTTTAATACCCCATCTATCCCATGATTCAATGTCTATTTTATTTTATGAGGTTTTCAACCCTTATCACTACAATTCCTTTCCAAAAACATACACAAAAAAAAATTAAATTAATTTAGAGACAGAGTAAACATTATAAAAAAAAAACTATAGAGTATAGGCTACCTTTTAAATTAACAAAAATAAATCCTCTTGAGGGGTACCCTACTAGCATCAAAGATTTTCAGTGAAATCTTACAAACTTTTTTGATTTGGTAAATGTAACTATGGTAGTAGCTAGTAGTAGGTTTTGTTAACTGGAAGATGAAAATTAGGAGCATTACTCAAATCATATCCCCTGTATTATCTATTACAATTTAAAATCAGCTTATTGACTGTTGATTCAGCTAATACAAATTTGGTACAAGTGTTGAACATACAAGTTTACTAGACAAAGTTGTTAGCTTTCAACAGATAATTGGGCTTTAATAATAGCACCACTCATTCCAGGTGCAAATGGGAACAAATGTCCAGCACCTGGTATCTCATGATAGTTAATCCAAGGCAGTCTTTGAGCTGTGTAACGCTGTATCACGACAGGCACGAGTCTGTCATCATCCCCTTGCCATAGATGAACCTTACCCTCGCCGTTAGGAAATGGATTTGCAAGCTCCATTGGATCAAATTCCCATTTTCCAAACGCCACGTTCATGTCTTGGTGGATAGATTCGTATTCCCCTTGCTGTCTTACTTGATCCTGTTAGGCATAAGATAACAGATTAGATATGAAGTGGGGAAAAATCAATGAAATGCTAAGAAATATTTTAGACTTTTCACAATTTAGTGCAATACTAACTAAATTTGGTAGAATATATATCCAATACAGGTATATTTTTCCCACGATGATCGATCTTATATAGTTTAATACAAAGAGATTTACATAATTACATATGACATCCACCAATATGCTCATAATCAAGTCATACAGAGTTGTAGGAGTAAGAATTGTACTGTACCTTGTAGTCCTTCCTCTCAAATTTAGAAATGAGTTCTCGGTCTTGTACAGAAAAGAGATGATCACTGTGAGCGATAACACTTGAAATTGGGATAATCTTTTGAGTCTGCCACCAGTACGTTAGCCAAGGAAAATAGTATGGCACGGTTCCTGACAGTACATCCCATATACTTGCTCTGCTTGAGATCTCTTTAGTGATGTTAGCAGGTAAGTTAGTCCACCAAAATTGGAATACAGGTGATAAGAATGTTGCTCCTGCTAGCCTGTTAGTACAAGCATCAGAGATCAGACTAACAGCACAAGGATATAAGAACCTCGGCCTAGGTCCTGAGCAACAAACTCGACAAAATTATACCTGTGTGGAATATATTTAAGGCAACCCCAGATTAACTGTCCACCCATGGAGTAGCCAATGACATAAAACTTTGGTCCAAGGTTCAGTTGATCTGCAAGCTCTTCAATATCCAAAATAGTGCTCTTAACTGTTCTTTTCGGATGTGGATCACTTTCTCCATACCCCGGTCTGTCAAATGACACTATGTATATGCTTAAGCTCTCAAATAGATCCTGAAGAAGCAACAACATTCATATAAATAATGTGTAATTTACAAAAAATTAACAACATTGCGACAAAAATTAAGGAAAAAGACTGTGATAAAGTATATACAGGAGAGAGTTCTGTGGCAACTGCAGCATGATGTCTGCAGGAATCAAATCCATGGACAAATATGAACTTGTGCTTTGCTTCATCTCTAGGGACACCGTATTCTTTGTAGGCCAAATGCCTTCCATCTCTTAGCTTGATTCTTGGAGCTGTTATCGGAGGGCCTCCGGGAGATCCACATATTTTCGGTGGAGGAGGGCGAATGGCCTGATACGCCCATGCCAAGAAACCCACCAGCACCAACACAAAAATCAAACCTGAAAAACATACAAAGATGGTATGTCATAGAATTAATTGGTAATACCTTTGTCCTTTTTCCTGAGTGTCAAGTGAGCTATGCAATTCACCGTCCTATCTAAAGTATTACTCCGTAATTCTTAGATGTTCCAGGGTACACTCAAAGTTGTGCAACCTAAAATACTTCAGTTTTTTTACTCATTTGCTCATTTGAATATTCGAAATAAAAAAAAAAAAATATATAGCCACGAATGAACAAAATGTTAGGAAAAATAATAGCTTTGGTATCTAATTTCTTGGGAAAATATTATACTTAGGGCCTGTTTACTTCGGCTTAATTTTACTTCATTTGAGTTCAATTCATCTCCTAATTTTCTTCTCTCATAAAATATTCATTTCAGCTCTATTCAATTCAGTTCAGCTCTATTCAGTTCAGCTTCAATTAGTTCAATTAAATTCAGTATAGTAAATATGAACAAACCCTTATAGACATGCTCCATCTAGTATAAATTGCACTTATTCACACGCCATATATACACGTTTAATATATGAATTAATGAATTTCCTTTTAAGCTTAAGTAAGTTAAACCAAAATAAGTCCAGATAAGTTTAGAAAGATTTGACACATGCACATTAATTTTTCCGTATTAAGTTCAAATTCTATGAAACTTCAAACAAACTTAGCAGAGCCTAAGAGATTTATATCTCCTCCAATCTAAATATCTAAAATTGTGAAACTGCCAAAAGAAAAAAAAAAAAAAAAAGCAATTTGCTTAGTAAACAATAAAGACAAATAAGGAGAGAATAAAAGAAGAATCCTCCTCAACTCAAGTACTCAACCCATTTAAATTCATGTATCCATATTTTTAGAACAACAAAATGAAACCAGCCAGTATAAAGTACTTATTTTTTTAAAAACCCTTATAATTACTCCCTATTTTACCAATCATATGCACATTTAACCGTTATTTTTGGGACTCGAACATATCAAAGCACATATTAAAAAAAAGGTAAAGAATTCAACAATTGATAAAAAGATTGAAAGATTACCAGAAGAAAATCGGGCAGATTTGTTGGTGCTAACCCCTTGAACCATTTTGAAAGAGTGAATTGTATGAGGGAAAGACAGAGTGATGGAGTAGGCAATCTACTCCAAACAACTAAAAGTGGTAATGTCAGTAAAGTCACTATATTTAGCAATTTAGCATGTGCTTTTTAGAAATGGGTGATATTTGGAAGATGCGTTGGCATTTGGCAGCTTTGCCTTTGAGTGTCTTTGTCTTTGAATCTTTTGTCCTCTTTACAAAGTCTATGATTTTGTCAATCAATTACAAAGAAATATTGGCCTAAGATAAAACATGACACTTGTGTCATTATTTTAATAATTTTGAGCTTAAATTTGATTATTATCAACTAAAATATTTTAAAAATATCGAATGATTTGGAGATAGACCATTAATATTAGAAGTTAGGTCTATTCTGTTCAGCTTAATTTCAGTTCAATTCAACTCCAATTAGTTCATTTCAGTTCATCTCTTAATTTCCTTCTCTCATAAACAATTTATTTCAGGGCCTGTCCACTTCAGCATAATTTCAGTTCAGTTCAGTTCAGCTCCAATCAGTTCATTTCAATTTAGCTCCTATTTTCCTTCTCTCATAAAATATTCAGTTCAATCCAGTTCAACTCAGTTTAGTAAATGTGAACAAGCCCTCAGCTCAGTTCAGTTCAGCTCCAATCAATTCAGTTTAGTTTAGTTTAACTCGGTTCAGTAAATAAGAACATGCCCTTAATCTAGAAAATTCTAGATATAGAATGAAAAATCTAGTGTTTAGTTTAGAAAATTCTTTAATGGAGTAAAAAACTAAGTTAGTTTGTATCTATAAATATCATAGATATGTGTGGTAGAAATTTCATATATATATATATATATATATATATATATATATATATATATATATATATGAGACAAGTGTAGAAAAATTAGAAAATAGGGAACAACAACTATAAATATATTGCATGGGTAAGATATACTTCCTCTGTTCTTTTTTACTTGACCCGCTTTGAGTTTTGCACTATTCACCACCTCTTCTTTGACCGTCTTTTGTAAATGATATGTAAGATAAAATATATTCATATGACATCTTTTTTAATTTGTCTCAATAAGTACTATCGTAATATACAACTTTTATAATTGTTACTTATGAAGAATTAAAGTTATTGATCGCTAAAGTTTTGCATTGACAAGCGTGATAAAAGAAACAAATCAAGTAAAAAAGAACAGATGACGTAGAAATTAAGGATTAGAGTGAGAGACATAAGCTCTCGTAAACATGTCTATTTAACTTCTGTGTCTGTCCAAATTCTATCAATTAATACTAAAAGTTTGTTTTAAACTTTTGTGTCTGCCCAAATTCTATATTAATACTAAAAGTTAGTTTTAATTACGATACTATGTAATATATGACAAAGTTAGTTACGATACTAACTATAAATATATGTTACTGTTGTAATATTTCTCTAGATAGTCTTCTAACAATTTATGTAGAAGCAATTCCACATAGAAATTTTAGAGAATTGAAGTTTGTGTTACTTTATGATGTTGTGTATTTTGATGATGTCAACATTATAATTATTTTTTTGTTTCCCACATAGACAAAATAAAATGTACTTGTAATGTTTATGTTACTTGAATAATTTTATTTTGGAGATTAGGGAGTCCCACATAAATAGTTTAGTTTGATTTTTAGATGTATATAATGCTTGCATTATTCTATGTGTTTGAAAATAGAGAAAAGATTGCGCATGAGCTTAGTGTTGATATATGTATTATTTATATCAAGAGCACTTAGCACGACTACACGCGCGCCACGATCTATAATTAACAAATTTATTAATTACTTATTTATGTAATAATATTTTTTTAAAAATAAATTCGTAATTAATAAGTTAATTATGTATAATGATGTCAGTTGGAGTTTAAAGAAGATAAAATTAAAAAACTGTATCTTCTTGTCAGTTATATTTTTCTCTATAAATAAACATGGTTGATTCTTACTAAACTACGTTATTTTTCTTTCTCTTCTCTTTAATTTTTCTTAAAACGTTCATGGAGTGTATGTTGATTTTGCAGTCATAAAACACTAGTATCTTAGGGAAATCATGGTGTTATATGTGTGCCTCGAATGCTCCATGTTGATATATGCTTTAGTATTATGGTGTTTGGGGCTTTAAGCAAAGAAGCATGGAAAGGGATGACTTAAAATGAGCATATCTCAAGATCTAGAAGTGATATTGAGATGATTCAAGTTGCAGGTGATAGCTCTTCTCAAAATCTTTCCAACGACTGGTCATAAGCTTGATTTGGTTAAGAATCGAGGGAGTTATGACTGTTTAAAGAAGTGATGTCCGCGCAGGGGGAGTTCGACCGAACCATTTAATAGGTTCGGTCGAACCTTTAGGCAGAACTGATGCTCTTTTCATTTCTAGAGTAGGTTCGGTCGAACCTATGGTGGTGTGACCGAACCACACTAAGTTCGACCGAACTCTGGGTAGGTTCGGTCGTACCTTCGAGCCCCTGTTCCAGCGCTGCGATTTCTTCTTATTTTGCTCGGGATGTAATCTTAACCGTTGATTCATCTTGCACTATATATACTCTTGTTTTTCATTGTAGAGAGTATGAGAGAGAAACACAAGTGAGACTTAGATCTTAAATTAGCTCACCAAGAACACCATCTTTCTCCATTGTAATTCTTCCTCCATTGAAGAGTAATACAAGCTCCAATCTCCCCAAAAGTGGATGTAGCTCATTTTGAGTGAACCACTATAAATCTTGTGTGTTTTATTTTGTTCATTTTTAACTGCTTTCTCATTTAGCTTTGCATTGTTCCTCAATCAAATTCAAAGTCCTAAAAAGGGTCCTATTTCATAACACATGGAAGTTTCTTTGCCATCTCCCAAGTGCAAATTTAGTGGGGGCAAATAATACTTTAAGGACAATGATTCTTCACGTCCCTTTGATTATTTTCCTAACAGATACTGCTCAAATAAATTGTGTTGAACTGCATTCAATAAAATATCCTAAATTAATATTACAAACTTTCTCGATGATAAGAATTTTAGTGGAGTTTTCTTCTACAAAACAAGGTATTTGGAGGTTTTTGCTTATCTTGTTGCTTTGAGCATTAGAGTCTTGGTTACATCGATTTTATATCCTATGACAAGAAGTTTTGTTTTTTGTATTGGTTTTTAATTAATTTGGGTGGTTTGTTGGAGAACAAGAATAAGGGTGATGATGATGATGCAAATAAAGATGAGTGAAGTGATTAATAATTCGAGGATTAGGTATCCAACAAATTAAATAAGGTGTATGTAGTGCAAAAATTTACGTATTATGTTTCTTTGTTGTTGGTTCTTGGAATCATAAACATTATGTAACAAATTAGCAAATTAGGTGTATGAGGTTTTAGTAAAGATTAGGTACAAATTTACGTAGTATTTTTCCTTACATTCTTAGTTATTAGTAACTATTGATTCCTTGTTATTGTATTAGATGTTTTGTGAGCTTAATTAGTTTTAAAGAAAAGGATCAATTTCCTTCTAATTCCTTTTCATCTTAATTTCAATGAACAATCAATATTGTTCTTACCGGAGTTCAATTCAAAAAAGCTATGTATTGTCAGATCCATAGATTGCAATCAATAAATTAGTGGAAGCTTATTTGTCTAAATGAAATTCATCAACGTTTAGAAATTGAGTGTGATCAAGAATGTGTTAATTAGATGTGAAAGATCAAATTAGGTGTGGTAAAAATTCAAATTATTATGAAGTATATAACTATATATGTATAGAGGATCAAGGTAATTAATCTTGGTCCTTTTATATGAGCACATGAAAACTACAACATTTGATTTAATATTATAAAAATTATTAAGTTCGAACAATGTGAACAAAAGTTTAATTGAAAAAGAATGGGATCGGCTACATGCATGACATAACAAAATTTAATAAATTATTATCGTGTTTTCAAGTTTCTCAAATTCGGGCATTATCTTTGTCATGGCGTGAGAATATATTACGAATGTGAGCAATAAAGCTTGATGGTGCGAACCAATTTTGTGTTTGCCACCAGTAAGCTAGCTATGGTGCATAATGTGCTATTCTTAGTGACCATTGATCTAGTGGAAGTTGCATGTACAGTGGCGGACCCACAAAGACACAAGGAAAAATGATCAAAAAGACCAATTCTTAAATAAGCGGTCTCTTTGAGGCTGCTATAACAAATGTAAACCTATTTCGCTGCTTTCCATGATAAAAGAAAAGAGACATGTTATATGACAACTGGTCTCTTTGAGGATGTTATAACAAATGTAAACCAAACTTTTCATGTTAAAATAAAAGAAATCTGTTATATACTTCCTCCATTTTTTTATAGTTGCAACAGTTTGACTTTTACACTGTTTATCTGTTTCACTTTGACTAGTTTTGACGATCTATACATAAATAAAAATATAATCATGTGGGATCTTGTTAGATTCGTCTCAATTTGTATGATTTTAATATCTAAAATTTATAACTTTTACATATTGGTAACCAAAGATATTAACGATTCAAAACATGAATCGGCAAGCGTGAAAAGAGCAGTGTTGCAACTATAAAAAAACAGATGAAGTATTAAACAGGTCTCTTAGGTTTTTTATAAAAATATATTTGTAGAATCTAAAATTTTTAGATTATAAAATGTTTATAATTGTACTTTAATTATTTTAATCACCATACGTAATACCAAACATAACAATAAAAAAACATGAAATAACTTACTATTCTTAAAAACTCCTTCATAGATTATATTTTTTTTTTCTTTTTTTTAGCACTTTTCAATGCACATGTTTATTTGATAAGTAAAATATATACTCTTTAGTTATAAGTAAATCAATAATTTATATTAAATAAGGACTGTAGACATCTACTTTTGGCCTCCTGTCCTGACAGGAAGTGCAATGACGATAAATAAAGCCATCTTCATGTTGGATCGAAGTGAAAAATACTTATGGATAACTGGTTAAGCCACAAAACACAAAAGACTAGCCTAAATTAAAGGAAAAAAGCCAAAACAAAGGTCCAATTAACTAAACCTGACCATAATTAGGCTTAAGCCCGTGCTTAAACCCTAATAGTGACGGATTTAGGAGCGCCTAGGTTAAA